ACAATTATAATGAAACAGAGGGAGTATAAAACCAGAAGACAAATCCAGCATGTACACGCGTCTTCACCTAGTGTATATACTATATAATAATATAAACTAGGGTAAGAGATGCGCCTTTCGTAAGGTAAATTTATATGAAAATTATTTAATCAATATTTTATGGAAAATAAAATTTTATATTCTTGATCGAATTAATATTTTTGGCCCTTAAACAACTTTTTTTTTTGTTAATTACATAATTTGTTGACATATGAGCTGATCCCATTTTTAAAAATGTTTTAGGTCAAAAAATCACTTATCGCATAAGCACCTAATGTTTAGGCCGAAGAATCTTAGGTCTAATATTTGGTTACAATGAAACGATATCATCTTGGTTTTATATCATTATTTAGCAATTTAAAAGTTAATTATGGTTATGATAAGTTTACGTTCACGTGCCAATCCTATTTATCTTCAGTATTTTTTTCTTTTTTTTGGTGTCATTTTGTTTTTCATTTTGGTCATTGCTAGATATAAATATTAATATTTGAGTTTATTCTCATTTCGTTCTTTTGTTTTAGCCTCAGATTTAGAAAATGTTTAAGATTTAAAATTATTAAAGACATGCATACTTAGATTAAGATCCACACCTTGTGCAGAATAAAGATTTTATATTTAATTTATGTTTTTCACATATTATGAAACAATAAAATAATTATTATAAATTAAATAACTAAGAAATCAGTTAATAATACTATTATGTAATAAATTGGCGTGTACATATAAATCAAATGACCGCTCTTGTTTATTCGCTATCATTTTAGGGTAAATAAATCAAAACAATCAATTTCATCTATCGTGTATGATATATAATTAAATTTAAATAATATTAATATGGATATTATTAATATGGATATTTATTTAATGAGATTTTTGCTCATATGATTTTATGATTATTTACATATTTGTGTAACAAAAATGTACACCAAATTTTTTTTTTTAATGTGGAATGTTTAGTGTTTTCAATAATTTATAATCATTTAAAAAACAATGAAGAGTTAAAAGTTAAAATATTAATTTTTCAATATATGTTCAATGCAAATATCAAAATATAAATTTGTATTTTCATACGATGTATAGTTTAATTTAAACGATATGATATATATATATATATATATATATATTAATTAACATAAACACCTATTAAAATAAAATTATTTATTCATATGATTTTATAATCATTGTATCTTATTATAGAAAAAAATTAAACCTTGATCACAAAAATTTATGTGAGACTTTTAACAATTTTAGTAATTTATACTTGTTTTTGGAAAATTCAAAATACTACATATACAAAAAAATCTGAATTTTGATTATATATTTAATGTAATTGTGTAATTGTTTTATAATAAATAATTAAACATAAAGATAGAAAGTATACAAATTCTTAGCAATTCTTTATAATTTAAAATTATTAATTGTCTGTCATATATATCGTAATCACATTAGATAATTTCGTAGGTTTTATTTAAGGAAATAATATATAATAAATTTCAATTTGATAAATGAATGGTCCATAATGGACATACTATATAATATAACATTCCCTAGCAATTTAATTTTGGACTAACAAAATTTTCAATTGATTCTCAAACCACTACGTAAGAAAAATTAGCATCTCAATTCGTCATTCACTTTCTCTGGAAATTGAAACCCTATTGGAATAGAAACTGCATAGCGTAGGATTTAAATCTCAGACCTGATGTAAAAACTTTTAAACCTTAACCACCAGGTCACGGTGCTTCCACATAAAGATACTTTGTGTTTGACAATTTTGAGGCTTCTAGTTTACGACAATTTTGAGTCTTGTAGTTCTTCTTTTTATTTTTTCGAGTTTTTGTTGGGTTCACCTCTTACAACCACCAACCAATAGTATTTTGTTATTTCATAGTTTATATTTTATTTTTCTTAAACAAAATAATAAAAAAGTTCAAGTTACATTATACTTAAAATAAAATGATAAAAAATAAAAAGAATAATAGTTGTCAGAAAAGAATTAAAAAACATATTTTTAACATCTCTCAAACACTAAACCATAAATTCTAAACACTAAATTTTTGAATAAACCTTAAATTCTTAAATAAATCCTAAATTCTTGGATAAACCTTAAAATCCTTGGATAAATCCTAAACTTTTCGATAAATTTTAAAACCTAAATTATAAACATCGAACACTAAAGCACTAAATTTTAAACCTAAATGTTATAGACACTAAAGCTTTAATCCTGAACCCTAAATCCTTTGATAAATCCTAAATCTAGGTTTTATGGCTTACCCAAGAAATTAGAGTTTAGTGTTTAATGTTTATGAATAAATGTATAAGATTTATCCAAAGGTTTAGGGTTTACCAAAGGGTTTAGAGTTTAGTATTTTGCTGAAAGTGTTAAAATATTTTCATTTTTGGCAATTACTACTACTTTATTTTAAAAACATATTATAATTTGATAAATTTTTATTATTTTATTTTTTCTTTTACATATATGAAATAACAAAATACGGTTGTTTGGTGAACCTACGGGACCCAAAAAAAAATCATTTTTTGCTATCTTAATTTATTGGATTGCTTAGCAGCCTATGAGCACACTTATCCCTAGTGCTTAGGGGGTGCTTAGGGAGAGGATGGTCCACAAAAAAACAAAAACTGAGTGCTTAAGTTGCCTCCATAAACGTCTGGTTTTTCAATGTTGCTTGGCCTGTTCTGCAGACCCTACGCCATGTGGCGGTCCGCGATTGATTTTTTTTTTTTTTTTTGGTATTTTTTAATCTGGAAAACAAAAGAAAAAGAAAAAAAAGATTTTTAAGCACTTTTCTTTTCAGTTCCACGATAATAGTGCTCTAAGTGGCTTTCCTTTAAAGTTTGACTCTACAGCAGGGACATATGCATTGAAATGTGAGATAGTCCATAGAGAAGGGCCACTTCAGGGTGAATGCATGGAATGGTTCATATTATCATCAAGTTATGATAGTAAAACAAAATGGAATGTAACATTATTTGACAACGGGAAAGACCTCCAGTGGGTAGTTTGAGTTCCAAATGTTCTGGTTTGGAAATGATATGCTTGAAAAAGTAGATTAAAATTTAAATATTGGGGCCACTTCCAGTGATTTATTCTATTGTGGTTATCGAATTTATAGCTTGTGCAGGATAAGATGAGCACCAAACTGTGGGTGAAGGGTGAAGACTGGGTTTGAAGGCACCCACGACACTCCATCGTGTGGTCAACATAAACCTATTGATTACAGTTCATTTGAATACCCGAAAGAGGTACACCCGTGGGCTGTACCTCCTATTGGAGATTCGTTAGGACCTTTCTATAGACTCTGGATACCCCCAAATTAAAAATTAATAAAAATGTCTAAATTGAAATGTAATGTGACATAGTCCATAGATATCTCAGGTAAATGCATGTAATGGTTGATAGTATCAAGGTTTAATAGTAAAACAAAATGGAATGTAACGTTATTTGATAGCCAAAAAAGATATTTGAGTGCTACTTCTACGGCTATGGTCTGGACATGCTTGAAAAAGTAAATTAAATTTAAATACTGGGGCCACATCCATTGTTTTTAATTCTCTTGTGGTAATGGAATTATAGCTTGTGCAGGATCAGATGAGCACCAAACTGTGGGTGAAGAGTGAATACAGTGTAAGGAGCATGGACATATGAAGGTGAAAGCTCGAAGGAGAATCTCTGTAGTATCAAAGCCATTGCCATCTTTGCCTCCAACATTGCAAAGTTCTGTCCTATGCATATCCTCGGCCCCCATGCAAAGGGAATGAAGGAGACTTGGCTCTTTGTTGCCTTTGAGACACCATCTTTGAATCTATCAGGCTTGAACTCTGCTGCATCGTTGCCCCACAACTTGGTGTCACGTTGGACAAGCATAACAGGTAGACTGATGTGAACACCACCTGGTAGGGTCAGGTCACCTAGCTTCATCTCTTTGTGAATGGCTCTTGTCAGCTGGATTACTGGAGGATACAGCCTAAGTACCTCATACAATATCATTGTCATCTGTTGGAAACATTCAGAAAAGTTAGTAAACATTGTCAAAGTCACCTGAAGGTTTTTGATTTTGGTTTGTATACTTACCACTTTGAGATGGTTAAGACCTTCTACATCAGGTTCTTTATCACCAAAAACTTGCTTCACTTCTTCTCTTGCACGAGCCTGCCAGTCTTGGTGTTGGCTCAGCAGGATCATTGTCCAGACAAGAAGTACTGAAGTTGTCTCTTGCCCGGCAAAGTAGAACAACTTGCACTCCTCTATCACATCCTCAATGCTCATTCCAGTTCCTTTAGCTTGTCCTAAATTCGATTCAAGAAGTGTACCCAGCAAATCTTCGCTTGGTGCTTCACCAGCTTCTCGAGCCCTTAACCTTTTGTTTACTATCCCTCTAAGTATATCTTGGACTTCTCTGGCTGCTGCTTTCATCCTTCTATTACCCTTCGTTGGGTAGTATCTACGCATTCCAAAGAACAACATGATTCATGTCTCCTGATAGAATGCAGTGGTTACAAGACCAAGATTCAAGCAGGTTTTATTACCTGTATCCAGGGATGAAAATTCTCCTAAAAGCTTGTGTTAGGAGCTGTGCTAGTTCTGCTTGGAGCTCAAATATTCTCTGACCTTCTTTGTAGCTGCTTCCAAAAGCAGTACGAGAGATCACATCTGCAGTCATACTCGTAAGCCAAGGCCAAACGTCCACCTCACATGATGATCCTTTATCCGAAACTATATTGTCCCATTTGCCAACAATTTCACTACAGCTCTGGTGGAAGGCAGGTACCATATTCTATACATAGAAGCAGTAGTCACAAAATTGTATTAGCTAAATTGTTAAGTGAATATATTTTCATGTAATTATTAGGAAATATAACTTATGATACCATGTTAGACCCTAACACAAAATGATACATACACAAACCAAACAAAACATATGCAAAAATGAAGGAAAAACCTTGATTTTCTCAAGGTGGAAAGCAGGGTTGATGATTCTTCGGTGTTTAGCCCATTTATCACCATCATAACTAAACAGCCCAGTGGCTATAACTCTTCCCAAAGGGAATGTATGTGGCTTCTGGAAATCATAGATTTTATTGAACACTTCTTTGATTTGCTCAGGATCCGTAATGGTGATTGTTGGTATTGGTCCACGCCATGTAAAGAAAGTCCTTCCTGTTACACCCACACAACAGTTTTCTATGTTCTCTGTATTTCTTAACAGATAGGAATCAAGAAAAGTTGCTCAAGAAAAAGAAAGGAATCAAGAAACATACCGTAAGTCTTGAGCATGTACGAGGGGAAAGGGATCACACGTGGGACGATATCATCCGTAAGATTGATCGGTTTGGACCTTGCCTCCTTTGACATGGTATAATCCCTTTTCACATCACCAACGAGTAACGTGTAAGGAGTTCCAGCAAGACCTTGTCTTCTCAGGTAACTCTCAAGCATCTTTGGTTTAAACCAAACCCAGTTTAGAGTTCTCCATACCCACCACAATACAACAACTATAGCTACTGAAACTGTAACGGAGGAAGCTGATGTTTCCATTTTCGTTCCTATAATAAAAGAGAATGAGAGAGATATGGATAACCTGCTGATATTTCAAGGCATATATAGATTGTAAATTTACATCTGATGACATCACTGCTGATGTCATAGATACTTTAGTCTCTGTTGTGACTTGATGTGTTGCATTATTTGAGGCCTCAGAGTCGTATGCCACGAGGTAACAAGAAGAAAATTTCGATTTGTGTGAGGACTATAACTTGCGTAGGGGAGAAGGCATGACCGTAACCTTTTGACATTTCGTTGTCACTACATCTAAGGAAAAACATTAGTCCCCTAAAAGTGATTACCATTGTCGACTCTATGCGATGACGTATTTTATTTTCTTCTCTAAAAAATATTATATGAAACTTGTTAGGATTTTTGCACTGATTGATTTCTCCCTCAACTTTAGTATATGAAATATTGTTTTTTTTTTCTTTAAAAAAAAATCACACTTGTTACAAAGACGTTTCTCTTCCTAGTAATCTTTTCAAGTAGGTTGGATCCCTCTGTTTATTGCTATCATCCTTCTATTACTCTTCGTTTGTAGATAGATACCTATGCCGATGAATACATAATGTGTCTGATACATAACGTGTCCGGGGTAATGTTTAATGGGTGGAAGACCAAAAAAAAAGAGGTTTATTAGAAAGTATAATAGAATATCCCCTATATATTAATAGAAAAATATTTTACAAGTTATAATTTGTATTTTGTACTAATTAAAAAAATATTTTGCTGAGTTGTTATGTAATAAGTGTTAATTTTTCTATGTGACGGCTTGCAAATCAATTGAGATTTTTGTTAGTCTAAAATTAAATTGTTAGAGTATCATTATCCAGGATTTGTTATTAGGAGAATATAAAAAAATGTTTTTTAACTTTTAACTGTTTCTTAATTTTTAACTAATGATGCTCTTAAATATAAAAAGTTTTTAAATTTTTAACTAATGATACTTTTAAATATAAAAAGTTAACTGTTTTTTTAAAGTAGTAGTGATGCTCTTAGAAAATGTTATATTATATAATATGTCCATTACGGCACATTTATTTATTAAATTGAAATTTATTATATATTTTTTTAAAATAAAATTTACAGAATTATTTAATGTGCATTAAGATATATTCATAATCTTGGTCATAAGATACATATCTTATGGTGCAATATATCTTTAATATTTATATTTGCCATCCAGGGATGTAAATTTTTCTGAAGATGATAGATTGGTAGGCTCTGCTAGTGTGATAATCTAATGTATTAGGCTGATGAGTTTGGTTCTTGCCTTCTTAATTTAAAACTATCAAACTCCTCAACTCTCCAACAAGAGACATGTAACTAAGGAGTTCCTGGTAGACCAGTCCTCTCAAGTAACACTCCCAACATCTTACGTTTTAGGCTTTTAGCCAAAAACCCTCAGAGTTCCTGGTAGACCCTGTCCTTTAATATGTGAGTCGCTAGTTCTGGTTTAAATACATAAAAACAAAATTTTATTTGAGTTTTGTATTATGATCCGGCCTCGGTTCATTTGTGTATTACAAGTTTCTTTGACAACAACAAAAACAAAAAGGGATTTAACCGTTATGAGACTAGAGCTTCTTCAGGATAAGCTGAGCACCAAACTGTGGGTGAATTGTGATGACTGTGTAAGGAGCATGAACATAAGAAGGAGATAACTCGAAGGAGAATCTCTGTAGAATCAATGCCATGGCCATCTTTGCCTCCAATAAGGCAAAGTTCTGTCCAATGCAGATCCTTGGTCCCCATGCAAAGGGAAAGAAGGAGACTTGACTCTTCGTTGCCTTCGAGAGACCTTCTTTGAACCTCTCTGGCTTGAACTCCGCTGCATCATTGCCCCATAGCTCGGTGTCACGTTGAACTAGCAAAATAGGTAGACTGATCTGAACGCCTCCTGGTAATGTCAGGTCTCCTAGCTTCATCTCTTTGTGAATGGCTCGGGTCACTTGTGTCACTGGTGGATATAGCCTAAGTACCTCATACAATATCATTGTCATCTGCAAGAGATCATCATACTACTCAGCCAAAAACAAAACACCAAAACATAACAAGAGTACTAGAGTCACATGTAAAGTTTATTCTTACGAGTTTGAGTTGGTTCAGGCCGTCTACATCAGGTTCTTTATCACCAAAAACTTGTTTCACTTCTTCTCTTGCCTTAGCTTGCCAGTCTTGGTGTTGGCTTAACAAAACCATTGTCCAGACCAGAAGTACTGAAGTTGTCTCTTGTCCAGCGAAATAGAACAACTTGCATTCCTCCATCACATCCTCAATGGTAATTCCATTTCCTTTACCTTGTCCTAAATTAGATTCAAGAAGTGTACCCAGCAAGTCATCGCTTGGTGCTTCACCAGCTTCTCTAGCCCTTAACCTCTTGTTAACCATCCCTCTCAGAATAACTTGTACTTCTCTGGCTTTTGCCTTCATAATTCTATTTTCCTTCGTTGGAAGATACCTGGGAGATTATGACAACAAGGGTCAAAAGTAAAGCTCTAAATTCCTTGTAATAACACCAGACAATTTTAATAAATTAATTACCTATATCCAGGGATGAACTGTTTTCTAAAAGCTTGTATGATGAGTTGTGCTAGTTCTCCTTGAAGCTCAAATATCCTCTGCCCTTCTTTGTAGCTGCTGCCAAAAGCAGTACGAGAGATCACATCAGCAGTCATACTCACAAGCCCTGGCCACACGTCCACTTCACAGGACAGCCCTTTATCAGAAACCAACTTGTCCCATTCGCCAACAACCTCACTGCAGCTCTGGTGGAAAGCAGGTACCATATTCTATACAAAGAAGCAAAAGTGTATCAGTCAAAATGAAACAAAAACAAATCAAAACCCTGTCTCATGGAGCTAATAATACCTTGATCTTCTCAAGGTGGAAAGCAGGGTTGATTAGTCGTCGGTGTTTAGCCCATTTATCACCATCATAGTTAGCAAGACCAGTCCCTATCAATCTAGCCAAAGGGAAGGTATGTGGCTTCTGGAAATCATAAACTTTGTTGAACACTTCTTTTATTTTCTCAGGATCCATTATGGTGATGGTTGGTATAGGTCCAAGCCATGTAAAGTAAGTTCTCCCTGTTCCAACCACATAAAAACATTTATCTACACAAAGAGGAATCAAGAACTATAAGCTAAACCAAGAAACGTATATATACCATGAGTCTTGAGCATTTGCAAGGGATAAGGCACGAGACGTGGAGTGATATCATCCGTTAGTTTGATGGGTTTGGATCTTGCCTCCGTCAACATGCTAAAAGCCCTCTTCAAATCGCCGACAAGAGGCGTGTAAGGACTTCCGGAAAGACCTTGTCCTCTCAGGTAACTCTCTAGCATCTTTGGTTTGAACCAAACCCAGTTTAAAGTTCTCCATACCCACCACGAGACAACAGCTATAGCTATTGAAACACTCACCGATGCAACTGAAATCTCCATGTTCAGGCAGAGTCAAAGAGAGACGTAGAGAGATTGATAAGTTGGTAAAACATTCTTGGAATTTAAAGAATTGAGAAATCTTGGAAAATATATTGTTATGTGGTGATGACATCACCCTGATGTCTTAAATACTTTCATCATCGTAATAAATAAATTTATTTTAGGTAAAAAGTGTTAAGATATCTATGATAATAATTGTAAATCTTATATAATAAAGTTGGCTTTTTCACTCCTTAGGAGAAAAATGCCATATGCCACCTTCTTTTAATGATGTTTTTATCTTTATCATATTTAACAAATTTTAATTTATTTAATGAACCAATAAATGCTAATAAAAATTTCAACATTAATTAAAACAAATTTAGTATTTCATTATTATTTTTTTAGTTTTCTATTTTAAAGAAAATTTACAAATAATTTTAATATATATTTTAATTTATGAACAAATGATATATAAGTTAATGTGATTTTTTAAAAATGTACTTATATTTAGTTTATTTTTTTTATTAATGTTATATATGCATTTATATTGTAAAGGTGATATATGAGTTATTAGTTATAAAATATTTCAAAAGTTTTTCTAAAATAAATATTTATACATCTCTTATATAATCAAGTAGAGTTTTTTTCCCTCCATAGAGGCAAAATATGATACTTGTCATTCTATCATTTGTTGAAAGTGTTTAAGATATCTATGATTTTAAAGAAAATTTACGAATAATTTTAATATATATTTTAATTTATGAACAAATGATATATAAGTTAATGTGATTTTTTTTGAAAATGTACTTATATTTAATTTATTTTTTATTAATGTTATATATGCATTTATATTGTAAAGGTGATATATGAGTTATTAGTTATAAAATATTTCAAAAGTTTTTCTAAAATAAATGTTTATACATCTCTAATATAATAAAGTAGAGTTTTTTTTTCCCTCCATAGAGGCAAAATATGATACTTGTCATTCTATCATTTGTTGAAAGTGTTTTAGGTGTTATAAAAATCTTTTATTTTATTTGAATTTTATTGATTTTAACAAATGATATGATTTTTAATAAATATTTTTAGTCCAATAAATTAAAAAACAAAATCTCACTTTCAACATGTTCTTCATGATGGATGACAACTATCTCTAAATATGAAATATATAAATAAATATCCTTGATTCTTAAATCTATTTGTTCGATTTTAAAATCAATATCCTTGATTCTTAAATCTATTTTCATTTTGAAATCAATATCCTTGATTTCCAAAAGATTTCCGTAAAATAAGAGTTTACAAGAAAAGAAAAAGCTCCAACAAGAGTCAAACCAAAACGAGGAAAAACTGAATTACACAACAATTATGAAACCGAAAGTAAAAAAAAAACGAAAAGAAAATTTGATATCAATATCTTTGATTTCTAAATCTATTTGCTCGATTTTAAAATCATATGATTTATCAAAGATTTGGATATCCTTGATTTCTGTAAAAAAACTATTTTCCTTTTAAAATCAATATCTTTAATTCTTAAATCTATTTGCTCGATTTTAAATCATATGATTTATCAAATATTTCTAAATACAAATGTTTTTCTAAATCCATTAAAATAGTGGAATCAATAACCCTCCTCCCACTAAATGTTATCAAATGTTTACAATAATTATTCAAGAAGCAAAATTGTATTAATTATCAAAATGTCATGCAAGCATCTGTAATGCGTGTAAGCTTACAAAAAATTCAGTATATAATTTTGTTTAAAACTATCAAGTATTATAGATTCATTGTAGTAGCATTATTGTAGTTATGAATGATTATATTACAAAATTTAGTTTACACTACTTTAATATACGATTGTTGGCAAAAATAAATATACAATTATTTTTTTTCAAAAATGTTTTAAAATGTTTAATATAAAGTTATATAAATGTTGAATTATCAGGTATGATATTTTATAGCTTTTTGTTCAGTAAATTGGAGAAAAATATAACCCGCTTTAACATCAAGGTTCGCCGCCTTTCTTATGGTTTCCGACTTCCCAGAATCAAATCAATCAGACTCCGGCTGTGTTGGAACATCGTCCAGCTTTGAAGTGGGTGATGCGCCCCGGTTCGAGCACCGACCTGCTCGGATCATAGAACCGGCCCAAGGATACGATCTTGTCGACCAACTCGATTCAACCGAGGTTTCCCCATCAGATGACACTTACTTGGGTGAGCTGGATGAGCTGAGTGAGCTAAGTGACACTGAAGATGGAGCTGGTTTAGTTGCTGGGCGAAATAGGCCTTTTTCAACCCACGGAAAAATTCATAACAAATTCAGTTTGGGTCCGATTTACACCAAATTCGACCA